TTCAACACTTGTTGCACAATATACTATTTTCTCCTCGCATGCGCAAAGTTTATTATTTTGCACTTTGCACATCGCACTCTTTCGCGTGCGCAAAGTTCAACTTTGCGCACGGAAACTCTGCGTAGGTACCTGCTCGTTTTTATTTCGCATAATTACCGTATTTATACGAGATCAGTGATTTATACCTCCTACTAGATTTTTCAACGTTTCGTGAGTTTCTGGATAAACAACTAATACTCAAAATGAAGGTCTTGATGTTATTTTTGTTCTGAAAAGGTATTCAGGTAATGTTTAGCTTTTTTAACTTGACACTTTCCGTATGAGGAGCGATGGGAAGAAAAATCCAGTAAAAACAGATGTGAGGTCAGGCGACCATTGGCGTGGGGAACCTACAACTCACATTCCTTTGGAGTAGGTATCCAATTTAAAAAGTTGAATAGTACGTTATACTTTTCCATATACTTCCCAACGTAATGATGTTGCGGAAAGAATAAATCAGACACCAATGGACAAAGCAAGATCTATGATAATGCAAGCCAAAATGGATAGGATATTTTGGCAACTGCTGTATAGGTTTTCCAAAGTCAATTGGAACAAGGTGAATATAAATCATAACTGGTGCCTGACTAGTGGCAGTGCATTTCTCGTGGAAATTTTCGGTGACCAGTCACCAGTCAGCCACCACCCACATAACAGTGAAAGAACATTCATATTCTCAGAATATTCCCTCAAAGTGCTTTTTGGAATGTTCTTTTAGGAATGTTCAATGAATATTCTAAGATTGTTTCAATTGAAATATTCATTTTTGGACGTTCTATTTATGTACTAGGAATGTTGCTTCTTTGCACCTACCTGAAAGATTGTGCTAAGAACCTACTTTATAGAACATTATTTGAATATTGTCATACGAACATTATTATAATGTACCCTAAAAAATGTTCTTTCAGCTAATATCTCTATCAAGTATTAAGAATATACCTACCAAGTTGTGCTGAGAAGTTTGTGTAGGTAGGTAACCATGATAAGAATATTTTCATAGCATTCACCTAATTATCTAAAGTACCTACACAAAAATCTTGATTGAACAATTAAACAATAATCCTCTATCTAGAACCTACTAAAAATATTATAGGTATATTCTTTTTCATTTGCTTTGTAGGACTTCCAAGAGAGGGAGCCACGTGCTATTAAAGATCTACATATTTTCTAGCGTTTGAATCTCCTTGGAAACTGTTTCTCTCAGTTGGCGTGCTTACCGCGACGAGAGCATAAGAAGCTCGAAACCGGAGCTTTGGTTAAACACTTGTGTTTTCCAGAGAAGTTTTCCAACAACTCTTTCACTGCCTTTAATATAAAAGGACTGAAAGGGCCGAAAGGGGCATTAATTGGATGCGAAAATTGACATTCCAAGTATATCCTTAGAATCCAATAAGAATATTTATGTCTAGGATGCATATTGAGAATGATATATGTGGATATATATTCTAAGAATCTTTCAAGCATATTGGTATAATATTCTTTTGAGAACATAACTATATGTCATAGGAACATTCTTTCAATGTGAGAATATACATTTCAAGCATATTTTTAGAATCAAACAGGAATATTCTTTTCAGGATGCACTGAGAATCTCATAGGTAGATTCTAGGAATATCCCAATGGATTTCCCAGGAAGTTCTTGGGTATTGCAAACAGTATTTCTACAATCTTTCCTCAGAACATTCTCAGGACATTTGCAATGGTTTTGGCGAACATTCTAGGCACATTCCTCCTAAAAAAAGAACATTCTTATTACATTCTAAAGATGCAATTTTGTTATGTGGGCAGTTGGTACCTTGTTCCAATTGAGTTTGAAAAAATACTATACTTATTGCTATGTAAAACTAATTTAAAAAGTCACATGAGAAAATATCATCCTGGTAAGTTTAGTCTCAAAATTTGGCAGGAATAACAAATCTCAAGTAAACCTCGCTAGCACAACCACTGTTGCAAATAAAGTCATGCTGATCACTGAAAAAAAAAAAAATTGAAAACATAACACATTGAACTAAGCAGGGCCACCGCTACCATGAATGCACACGGGCGGCCAAAGCAGACCCTATATAGTAATAACTTTTTTTTTCCAAACAACGAGAAAAATAAATTTAAATTAAATAATAATGATTTTGTAAACTTCAATATTTATATAACAATAATTATTTTATAAGCTTTGTCTACATAGAAAATACTGGAATGCATGAATTTTATTTAGATACCTATCCTTCTTTTCTTCATCCTAATCCAAACAGAAATATAATCTTAAAGTATAAAGTACCTATCTAGCTTTGATACTGATACTGCCGACTTTGCCGAATGCTGGATATTGCTTCAAATTTTTGAGTAAGTATTCAACTATTTACTGATTACTGTTGATATATCTATATCATATGAAAAAAGTAATTATGCAACTTTTATAAATTATGTTAAATATTAGTACCTAGCAGTGGCGGCTCGTCAGGGGTGGCAGTGACTCCTCTGCCGTAAAAGATTTTCCAAATATTTTTTTGATGGCTTGAAATAAATGTTTTTACCACCCGAAAACATTTCCTGCCTCCGGCGGCGCCTGCGGCGGGCTTAAAGGGGGTGTGCGCCAAAAAAACAACTTCATCTCAAAAAAAAGAGAAAAAAAATCTAAGAATAACAGTGAAATCCGCACCCCTCTATGACAAATAATACCGCAGATATGGCTCTATGAAGGTACCGCATCTCACCCTATGACGTCACGAAAGCTCAAGCGACGCACGAGAAAGTGGATTTAATTAAATTTACATAATGTTTTTCCTGTGTTACCTACAATAATCTAAACAAAAACCACTCACGCGTGCCGGGAACAATCAAATTAACAATGCAGAGCGCCGCTGGACGAAGTTTTCGTGACGTCACGAGAGCGTCGTCCACACTTTAAAGCGGTATATCTCAGCGATGGTTTATCGTAGAATAACGAGGTTTGAACAGTTATTCTTAGATTTTTTTACACTAAAACTTTAATTTTTGGCGCACACCCCCTTTAAGCACCCCGGTATGGGATGAAAAAACAGGTAGCTAGGGGGCGGCAAATATTGAGTTGCACACGGGCGCCCAACACCTTAGCGGCGGCCCTGGAACTAAGAGAGAAAATGACCAGTTTTGAACAACTAGAAACATTTAAGAATATTAGGTACAACTCCCCTGGATGCTATGCAAATCTTCAAATACTCATAGAAAAAGTACTGTTCCTAACACTTGCGCATAGTGTCTTTCGCGCACTGAAAGCTTATCCGTCTAACTGCTTTTTCGTGCAGGAAATTATCACTTTGCGCACTTGTTAAGAAAATAACTAATTTGTCATATTATTGAAGTATTAAAAGCGCGTATATGCCATCAAAACATGTGATTTTAACGACTTTTGGGCGTGGCACCTCAAAAAAAATTTCGCCTTCCTTCGGCGGGCATCTGGTCTGCCCCCCCAGGAGCGTCAGGCTGGATACGCCACTGACCGCAACCACTTTTCCATAAGCTTTGTGCGGGGTCCTATATAGGCACTGGTTTTTCCATTAGTAGGTAAACTTTCTCTCCTCATCAATTTTTTTCTCCTGCCATGAAAATGCATGCTATTCTAACTCTGAACTCATTACAAATTGCAACAATATTAATTGGTAATATACCTTCGTATAGTCTGTCCGGTGAATGTTTTCCGCTGCGTCATCGATTTCTGCACTAATCCCAGACATTACAATTTGTTTTCGTTTTATTTGTATGCGTATGTCGGTTACAAAACACGTTTGGACCCCTTCGAAATGATACGCCACTGACCACGAATTTAGTACCGACTAGGTTCATACATATCAAACGATGACGCAGCGGAAAACATTCACCGGACAGACTATACGAGCCCTTTTATCTTTGTATTAGACCTCAATGGCTCAATGTCTTCCAGAATCCAGAACGCATGTTGAAGAATTTGTTGTTTGTTTGTTTTGCACTAAATATTAACTTTGTCGCTTGTCTCTCATGGCAGCAAGCGATAAAGTTTTTGTCGATGGGTAATCAAAAAAAGGTCAACTTTGCGTTGTCGAAATAAATCGCAAAATGTCATTTTTTATGCATGTTTTAGAAATTGTTATTTGTGTATTATAAGAGCGCAAAATAAGCCACTGTCGATTGAGCGCGGCAATCACTAGTAATCCGAAGGGCCTTTTGCGCTCGTATTGCAAACAATATTTTTTCTACAACAAAGAAATGATTTTAAATTGAAATTGAAAAAAAAGATTATAATTGAGACAAATTAAATGTCAACAAACTCAGAACAAACTGGTTATTTGTCCACCATTTCAACTAATCAATCGGCAAAGTTAACTTTGTCGCTTGTCTCCCGCATGGCAGCAAGCGACAAAGTTTTGGTCGAATCCTAATCAAAAAAGGTCAACTTTGCCACTGCGTTGTCGAAACACATCGCAAAATGTCATTTTTTATGCATGTTGTAGGAAAAATATATTTTGCACGACTTTGGAGAAGCTCATATCGGAGAATAACCAACAAAGAATAGGAATAGCCTAATCGACCAATAAAAAAATTCACCACAACAAAAATAATAATAATTGGAGAACAACATTGGGCCAACCCGACAAAAGAAAATTCAAAATGGCTGCTAATAACAAAAAAACATCAGTAAACTAGTAATATACATATACTACAAAGATTTATTACACAAACAATCAATTAAGTTGCAAAATCGATCAATTTGGATGAACCTATTGTAAATTATTCCAAATTGTAATCGATTAAGGGCGGGTATTATAAAACTGCTTTGACAATTAACTTGAAGTTAACTTTTTGAATTACATGTAATTCCAGAAGTTAACTTTAAGTTAACTTTCAAAGTAGTTTTATAATACCCGCCCTAATTGAGTTCATTTCAAATACCTACCTAATCGATTAATTTGCCCACCCTCGAGTCGAAATTTCAGGGAGAAAAACGATTTTTCTTTTATAAAAAATATATTACCATAGAAAGTAATGATAGGTACTTATATACACATATAGAAGTAGATAAATTATTTAGTAGAAAATGCAACATAAAATATATCGATAAATTATAACGTTGTAAGGCAAAAATACATACTGGTTAATAAATATAGGTAAATTTTGGGTAATTTAAGCATATTTTGGCAAGACTTTGAATACTTTATTGTTTATCGAAAAATCTCAATCAGAACTTCACCCTCTGGGATTTTCTTCATCTGTGACCATGCCTCAATACGAGACATAATTTGAAAATTAATTTTGTTCACTGAAAGAATTTCATCCCCTACTTTTAGCTCTCCAGATTTGTCTGCTGCTCCACCTAAAAAAAAACAACATCTATTTAAATTTGATTTTAAAATGCTATTGCTATAAAATAACAGAGAGACTTTAAACTCGTTAGTATGTCGTTCGTATTGACCGACTACTCTATGTTTATTAGTAACTGAAATATTCGAGAAGTTTGGCGTTGAAAAAATAATCTAGTCGCGAACTATGGGTATAACAGTTTTGAATTGGACAGTACAGCAATCAGATATAGTGCTATAGGTTTGAGAACAGTTAAGTTTTATTTGAGTAATTCCAAATGTTGATTGTACCTTTATTTGATTTTTGAGTTTGGAAAAGTAGTCTCACTTATCTATGAACCCGCACACTTAACACTAATAATGCTTTGAATTTAGGACTGTTAAAAATACCTATAACCATGCAAGTTTATTGAGACTTAATGAGGTCTTTTCAAAATCTACTTTACTCGCGTTGCAGCAAAAAGAAAAACGAAACAAGGTTCACCATAATTGTTTTTGTTATTTTACAAACGATTTACTTCCCTACTTTTATTTTGTAATATGTAAAACAAATTCGAGTTTACACTAAGTCACCATGGTTCTACACCTTTTCCATAAGTATTTCAGAATGTATCACTTGTATTTCAAATTCATCAATTCTAGTTCAGAATGCGTCAATTGTATTTCAGTTGTGTAAGTTCAATTTCAGAAATTGTTATTTGTATTTCAACTTTGTCAGTTGTAATTCAGAAAACATCATTTGTGTTTCCGATTCGTCAGGTGTATTTCAGAAAAAGTCATTAAATGACCAAACTGAAATACAAATTTTGTATTTCAGTTTGGTCACTTGTATTTCAGAAATCGTCATTTGTGTTTCAGATTATTTATTTGTAGATCAGAAATTGTAAATTGTATTTCAGAATTCGTCAAATGTATTTCAGATATTATCAATGTAGTGTATTAAATAAAATTTATAATGAGTCACCTATACACCTATCTTGTGTTGATTTGGGGAAATCTGCGTAGATACCTACTAATTTCCGAACTACATTTGACAATTTCTGAAATACAATTCACGTTTTCTGAACTACAATCAACTAATCTGAAATACAATTGATGCTTTCCGATATAAAATTAACTAATCTGAAATACAATTGACACTTTCTGAAATAAAATAAACTAATCTGAAATACAATTGATTCTTTCCCAGATAAAATTATTTATTCTGAAATACAATTGATGCTTTCCGAAATACAATTTACTAATCTGAATTTCAATTGACGCATTCCGAAATTAAACTGACGATCTCTGAAATACATATGGAAAAGGTGTAGTTGAAGCTATAAATAATAGTCCACTCCTTACCTGCGAAAATTTTCTTTACTACTAATGGCACATCTCCTTTTGGGGAATCTCTGCCCCCTTCAATACTAAATCCAAGACCACCTCCATCTTTCATGACCTTAACGGTTTGAGTTGGCTTTTTATTTGATGAAACAGAAGAAAGTGAATCAGTTTCATGGCCTAAAAGAAATATTTCAACTTATTCTTCAGGAAAAATATTGATTAAGTAGGTACGCTCACCTTTCGTTTCAGAAGATAAAGAGCTCACCGATGATGATATTCTCCTAGAGAGGTTCGATGACGGGACAAAACATCTGATTTCTTCTATTACAATTACGCATTTTGAAACAGAAGCCTATGCAATGATGAATTAGGTACATATTTTTAAATATATTTGAAACAATGTACTTACTTTCAAAAGATCAGTGGCAACAGAATGAGTTAATCCAACTGTCTCATGTCCATTTATGGATATTACTTTGTCACCTTTTTTCAGTTGACCATCTTGATAAGCGATGCTTCCATACCTGATGCGATGGATCTAAGAAAAATAATAGGTAGGTATATTAAAGACTAAGAATACCTACGGTTATTAAATCAGCATCAGAAAAGATTTTTCATCGAATTATATGTTTATCAGTAGATATAAATGGCCGGTTCTGCAACCTCCGTCCTCCGGAGGAGCTTATAGCATGCCTGCATGCGCCATCTATAGGTTCAGTTGCCTATAATACCCCCGGGGGCTATTGTACACTCACTACCTGCCGTATGAGGCGCCATCTAGGTCCGGGTTAAAATTTTACCAAAAATTTGTTGTTTCATTGATCTTCATCGTCAATTGCATTAAATAAGGCATGCCTAGCTAACGGGGGCACCTGAGCCCAGGAACTTTTTCGATACCGTGGGAAAATCTCTAGATCGGCGGCGTATTTGACCTGAAATTTCGGGGTTTTGATCCGGGCCAACCGTGGGAACTTTTTGCGATAGCGAGGGAACTTTTTCGCTAGCGTGGGAAAATCTTTAGATCGGCGGCGTCTTTGACCTGAAATTTCGGGGTTTTGACCCGGGCCAACCGTGGGAACTTTTGCGATAGCGTGGGAACTTTTTCGATAGCGTGGGAACTTTTTCGATACCGTGGGAAAATCTCTAGATCGGTGGCGTCTTGAATAAAATTTTACCGAAAAAATTGTGTTTCATTACTCGCTTCATTTCTACCAAACTTACCAAGTTAGATTAGGCTAGGCTAGGCTAGTTCAATATTTTGGAATTAGATTAGGCTTGGCTACCCGGGTTAACCTCAAATTTTGGGGGTTTTCCCGGAATTTGACCGCAACCATCTCCAAAACGCCTCGGACACCTACAGCAGGTACCGATAATTACAAAAGACCCCGATTCGGGCACCTACAGCAGGGGACGATAATTACAAAAGCCCCCGATTCCTATTCTAAGTGCAAGTACCTGAACCTAGATGTCACACCTACGGCAGGTACCGATACTAGATGGCGTATCGGGTACCAATTCCTATTCTAAGTGCATGTCCCCGAACCTAGATGTCGTACCAAGCGCGCGCCGGCGTGCTGGAAGCTCCACCGGTGGACGGTGGGCGCAGAACGAACAAACCGGGGGGCTATTGTACACTCACTACCTGCCGTATGAGGCGCCATCTAGGTCCGGGTAAAGCCTTAAAATAATCACTCAGTCAAATTCCGAGAAAACCCCCAAAAAATTGAGGGTTAGTCCAGGTCAACCCCCGAAATTTCAAGGCGCCGCCGATTTTCCCACGGTATCGAAAAAAAGTTCCCAGGCTCAGGTGATGAAGTTCAATGAAACAACAATTTTTCGGTAAAATTTTATTCATTATTAAGCCTTAAAATAATCACATTTGTTTCCTATAATAAGGTAGAACATTCTAGACAATAAAATACCAAAAACTACAGCTATGGTTATTATACAAGTAAAGATTAAGTAAGTAGATGCGTCAGGTCTCGAATCTGTTGAAGTGGAGTTTCTAGTTTCGTTTCTACAGTGGTTTTTGGAGATGGTTTCTTGCTGCGGACCAATTCCGATAGTTGTCCATTCCCTGCTTTCCAAAATGCTGTTGTTCAAGAATTCCACTCGCAAGTTATACTGGTAGAATCTATTCCGCGATTCTGGAAGTACTGTCTGGAAAGTACGTGTACGATCGTTGTCTATGAGGCGGTAGTAGAGCGGAATCCATAAGTCGTTGACATAGCTATCAGTTTTCAGCTGAGCCTTGATATTTCGGACTTCTGATGGTGGATGTATGTAGAGGATATTTTGAACGACTGCTGCGAGGGCGATGAAGTTAGAACTAAGCCAAACCATTGCCTCAACGTTAATGACTGAGTCCACTATTTGGTCAGGGCTTTTATACAGAAATAACAGGTATTTTGCGATGAGGGAGGTCCATCTACTTGCGTCCTCCAATCAGGTCTATTATAATGCATGAAACAAGGAAGTCTTGTCTGCAACCCGAAATCTTTTCTACATTCGAGTGGTAATTTCCCCCAAATATTCAAAAGTGTGGTACTATCGACATACTGCAGAAAGAACCCAATTGGCAAATCCTTCAACTCATCAGCACTACAATCTTCTATATTTTTTTCGCCAGATAAGAGTTTCAACAATTGATCACACATCTTCGAAAACTTGAACTAGACTGAAGCTCGCAGTTGTCGAATATACGGATGTTTAGTTTCCCTTTCCTTTTTGCTTTTTAGTGTCCGCTGGTACTGCAGTCTGCTTCACCTTTTCATTAATCATTTCAATTACCTGACCTTTTGTAACTAAATCGGTATCGTTTATAGCTTTTCCAGCTCTAACTATTCTCTTATCGCCGATGCTTATATAAGTTTTGGTTATATTAAATAGCTTATGTTGTTCTTCCAAGGCAGATATTCGTACAGCCAATTTTGTTTTAATATCATTTTCAATAGACTGATTTTTACTCAGTAAACTTTCAATTTTCTTCTGACTGTCCATCATTTGGGACTCCAGCTGCTTATATCTATTCTCTTCTTGAGGGGGTACTGCAGTTTTCACTCGGTTTTCCAGATCTTTTCTGAACGTTTCTGAGATTTCTTGAAGTTTTTTATCCGTATAGGATTTTGTAACATAATCTTGTATACCTCCAGGACTTTTTACCTTACTCAGTTTGGTTACTAAATTTTTGTAGTCGTTAAGACGTTGCGTACGCCCAAACTTATCGACTGACATGATGATACTGAGGAAATAATCAAGTGTTTTAATTTCTTATCTTACTAGAAAGACTTTGTGGCGCAATTGGTAGCCAACAATAGTCTGGTAGGACGCATGATGAAAATGTTTTCTTCTTTTTTCTCTCTCTCTCTCTCTCTCTCTCTGTCATTCTCATCAGATAATGAAATAGCGATTTGTTTGTTTGATTTTTTATTATTATTAAAAATTACATAATACATACATTAACTGCTATAAGCTATACAACACTTTCCAAATTGCATATTCTGATGAAATCTGCTTTTATTTTTTCTGGGTTCAGGTGTACAAACTCTAACATGAAATAACATAGTTCACAAATATTTAAGTTACAATATTCTTTCAGCACATTTAGACAATTATTTTCATTAACAGTATTTACATTGTTATAGTTCAACAGATCGTCATAAAAGGTTCTAAAATCTAGTTCTGCGAGTAAACGCAGCCTGTAATCTATTATATCTTGGATTTTCAAAATTGATTGGATATCATCTACACAAAAGCATAAATTAACTTCTCTGCTTGTTAACTTAATTATTCTTTCTCCCAAAAACATAGCTGAGGAAACAGTAAAGTTTTCTGATAGAGAATAAACTATTATCACTTCACTAACATCGTCATCATCATCATCATTATCCATCTCCATTGTGGAATTGACGATTTCCAGAAATTCGTTCCATTCCACACCGCTAAACGATACAGTCACTTGTTCTTCAGGTAGGTTCAAAATCGTACTACTCACTTTTATACTGGGTATCAATCCTTGAGCGATACTTATTCCGGCAATGATTTTGAAGTTATTGGTTGAATAGCAGGTCTCACCCAAAAATCTCGATTCTTTCTTGATTTCTTGGTCAATTTTCGTCACCATACTGTTGAAATAGGTCCAACACGGAAAAGAACAGGACGAATTATATCCAGTTGTTTCCATTGAACTATAACTTGCCATGCTTCTTCACCAGTAGACTGAAGTAGGTTTTGTGAAATTTGCTTTATATAGGAAGCTCCCACCACTATTTTAATGGTTTAAACTTGTTTATGTTCACCTCCAGAAATAGGAGTTTAGATAAAGCCCACCCACTGTCTTTCTCTTGGAATTCAGAAGATTTTGATACTAAAAGTTGTTCAAATTCATCGAATAACTTGCCCAAATCGGTGTTGGGCGAAATAGCGGCAAAACGAGAATTGAAGGATTTTATTTCCTGATTTTCTCTTAAAACGTAAAGTCCATATAATTCTAGGTTGATTTTTAGATTGGAGTATCTAGAAAAACCTTTTTTTATCAAATCCATTATTTTAGGTTTTAATTCTTCCAGATAGGGTCCAACACTGGTTTGATGAACATTTGTAAATAGCCTATAGGAAATAATTCGGTTTTTAAACGCTGTTTTAATGATCTGAACATTGGGTTCCAGGTCCGTACAACACTTATTTTTATGTCTATGACTTAGGTTATGTGAATGAGAAGAAATATTTTCCTCACAAACTTGACAATGCGAACTCATAACTGAAACTGAGTGATAAATTGTGGAAAATTAAATTTAAACTACATCCGTGGTTTTATCGATCCAGCTGTTATGTGAATTATCAAAACCCAACCATTTCACAAAAATTTTATTTCCCTTCTTTCGTAAGACTTGTTCAACGAGGAACACATCAGGCTGTTTTGTTTTTTGTAATTCTTCTTCATAAAACCCGCCACTTATAGGCTGACCTTGCAAATCCTCCAACAAATATGTCGTGGGGTTTGTTATTTGTACTTTAGCAACCTTGAAGAGTTCCGTACTCCAATTCGGTGTATATCCTTTTTGAAAAACATGTTTAAACTTGCTTATGCGGACTACGTCACCAACCTTGAACTTTTGTCTACCAGCAACTTTCATATGACCATAAACGGAATCAAGCACTGTCTTTTCATTGCGTTTATTAACTTTACTTGGCTTCATATGTATCGTACTATGTTTGCTATCATTATATGCGGTAGTAAGTGGCTGTAATAATTCCAACCATTTATGGTTTCCGTTCAACGTAAATTGCTTAAACAGTTTTTCTTTCAAGGTTCGAATTACTCGTTCTGCAATAGATGCTTTTAGAGGACTGAATGAGCTATAATGATGTATCCCATGTTTCTTCATAAGACTCGAAAATTGAGTGTTATAGTATTCCTTTCCATTATCCGAAATAAGTTTCTTAGGTATTCTTCCAGAAGTTTTCAGTATACTCTCCATGGCTTTGGTTACATCCTGTGCCGATTTAGACTTAAGAGCTCTAGTCCAGAGGTATTTA